GCGCCCGTATGCGCCCATGGGGACCCACACCCTTTCTACGCCCTGTGACGTCATCAATTTTAACTCTGGAGCACGAATTCGAGCATGTACTTGAACGGGTTGAAAATATCTTGCAGACGATACCAGAATGAGCGCAATTGAGTGGAGGAGATTGGAGAAATAGCCAAAAAACCGTGTCACTTTGACTGGAAAATCTGCACGAAGATCGTGTTTCACTACCCACCTACCTTTCCGAGCATGTGCTTTGAAAATAATGAGTAGTTTCTGAAAAATCTCTACACCAAAATGAAGCCTACTCAATTTCCAGCAAGTGAGGAGAAACTTTAGGCAAGGAGAGGGGAAAAAAAGGGCAGGAGAAAGAGAGAAAAGTAGAAGTCGTAAGTGGGGCGTGACTTTTCAACCCAAAAACTATGTCGAAATTTTGCTCTCTGCGCGTGCCCGAGATTTTCAGGCCGCCATTTTGCATTTGGATCGAAAGGCCGTCGAGTGCACGAGCTGTCAAGTGGTTTTTGGTAAGTTCGAGCTTTTAAAACCCCAACAGTGACCCGAAATCTGCTGGACTAGCTTCAAAACACAGTTTTCCACAAAAGCTGCGGCCATTAATGGGTTAAATCACAGTATGATAATGGTGTCCAAAAAAAGGGCAGCTAAATAGTGAGCATAAAAAAGGACCACTTGTTGCGACGATTAGATCACCCCTGGTGAAAGCACTAGACAAGAAGGTCAAAACATTGGGTCCACGAAGTGTAATTCCCTGGTTACATTCATTAAATCCAGTAGCATCAAACCATGTCTGACTGTCAACCTGGTTGCTTTGTGAACTCTAATTTATCTTGTACGAGGAAATTGGATACAAGTCACTCTTAAGGGCAAAAGGGTTAAACAATGGTTTCAAAGGGGAAAATAAAAAGGCATCATCAAACATGATGCAAAACATTTGTTGAAGGCACTAGACAAGAGTGTCAAAACATTATGTTGATGAATTGTAATTTATCTGGTTAGATTCATTAAAATCTTAAACCAGAGTAGCACCAAACCATGTCTGATTGCCCACCTAGTTGTTGTGTGAACTTGAATTTATCACCTCAATAAAGAGAATGGTCCTCTTGTCTTTTCGCAATTTTTTTCATTCTGTCTGGTTTTTAGGAACCTCTCAGTTTCGTAAAATACATTAACACATCACAGATGAAATCATGTATAATGATGTTTTTGCATTTAGTCATAAACCACAACCAAATCCACTTAATACAATACTTACAGGAAACAATGAGAGTTTCTGTCTTTGTTTTCCTTCCACATCTATTACTTGCTTCACATTTGTAAACTCCAGCATCATTTCTGTCAATGTTACTGAAGTCCAGTATGTGCCCATCACTGCTCAGATTATTGCTGACTTTGATCCACGTAAATTTTGTTATTCGATCCCCAGTTGCTTCACAACTCAAGCTGTATGCATTACCTTCGAGCACAACGTTTGAAGACCGGACTACTTTGACCTTAGGTACAGAATCTAAAATCAATTGAAACATTGGTTTGAATGTGTATATTTAATGGTGTGACACAAAAAATAAACTTAGAAACCATGCATTTGTGATGCTTTTTAAATTCATTTGTCAAGAATGTTATTGTTATGTCACTGGTAAACATATTCAGTTACATCAAATATATTTGGGATGATTCTTGATAAAGCTTGGAATTAGTAATATGTTTAAAATGAGTGTTAAACCTTCACAGTCTGAAAATCACAATATCAATTCTGCTTCCTGCCTATGATACATCTCTTATAATACTAGCTTCCAGTATTTAGCTTTTTAATCAGACAAGATCACCTCTAGTACAAACTCTACTTTCTTCTCATCACCTTCTTGTTTGAAAATGTATCAAATATGTTTAGGAGAAATCATTCTTATGTCACTATTGGGAGTGATAAGAACAAAAGCAGCTACTTCTCTTTAGGATTATGGTTAAGTGATGGAGAAACCCTTTTGATACCACAGTACCTGCGTTTTCATATCAGCTATAACTGAACCTAAGCTAATCCTGTGTTCTGACTAACTATTCAAGCTGGCAAGATGGGCCTATCTTACCACCTTGGAATTACCCACTTTGATCCTACACCAGAAAACAAAATTGCATGGGGCAGACTTGCAAAGTTTGTACTTTTTGGGCAATTGTCATTGCAAAGAATGATGAAAGACAGTGAGTTTTATGTACAAAAAAAAAAAAGGCCTAGAAATAAAAAAAAACCAAAACAAAACAAAGATACGAGAGTGTGGAAGCATTTTTGTCCCAAAGAAAACGAGACGTGTAGTAAGTCTTATTCCTGAGCAAGAAATGTATGAGGGGTCATATTCGCCAAAATCCTATTTCAAATTCTGTTTTGAAGATCCTGTATATTTTATTGATTTAATGGAAAAGAATTTAGGAAACCAGAACAGAAATTGAAGCAACAAAATAGAAATTAATGCAACAGAAATTAGAGCAACAGAACAGAAATTGTACTAAAAGAACAGAAATTGAAGTAATAGAACAGAGAAGTTTATTGAAGTTTATTGAAGTATATTGAAGCTTAATAAGAAGAAAGCTTAATAGGAAATGACAAATGACAAATGACAAATGACAAATGACAAATTAATCGAATTATTATTGATCTAATTTACACTTTCATGTTCATGAAGACCATTCATGCCCGCAAATAGGAGCTAGTTGAGGCGGGCAGGAATTAGAGATAAGGGCAACAGAACAGAAATTGAAGTGACAGAATGGAATTTAGAACAGAACTGAAATTGAAGCGACAGAACGGAATTTAGGACAGAACGGAAATTGGAGCAACAGAACAAAAACGAACCGAGTGGAGCCTGAGTAAGAGCCAGTTAAAAATTATAATTTATTCTTCCAATTCCCGCTCAAAGAAAATTTATTCTTGCCTGATGACCAGTCTGTTTACTGACCGTAAATTAACTATGTAATATCGAGAATGCGCAGACAGTTGCAAACTTTTGTAATTCGTTTCATTTTTTGTAAAGGACCCTTTTAATGAACTTTTTTCGAAAATTATCTCAAAAAGTTCTATGTGCTATTTTTTCTCCAAAAAATCGAAAAGTTCGAAATAAGCCTAAATGGCCGTTGTTCTCCCCGTAAAGCAATGAAAAATGATACAACTTTGGCAACTTTGTACGCTACAACACGATGCAATCCCACTTTCAAATTTTGTGTTCTAGCAGATGGTCCTTTTATCTCTTAGGAAATATCAATTTCTTGTTATTCTGTTACGTTCAAGTCTGAATAGTAACCCGTTGAAATAAAGTATGTTGAACAGCTGTCATGCAAGAGGTCAAAGCCAATCTTTCAACTTGTCCAGGAATGCACCAAATACATAACCTCTTGCGTGACAGCCATTCCATGTACTTTATTTCAACGGGCTACTATTCAGACTTGAATGTAACAAAATAACAAGAAATTAATATTTCCTAAGAGATAAAAGGACCATCTGCTAGAAAACAAAATTTAAAAGCGGGATTGCATCGCGTTGGAGTGTACAAAGTTGCCAAAGTTGTATCATTTTTCATTGCTTTACAGGGAGGACAACAGCCATTTAGGTGTATTTCGAACTTTTTGATTTTTTGGAGAAAAAAAAAACGCATAGAACTTTTTGAGATAATTTTTGAAAAAGGTTCATTGTTAAAAGGGTCCTTGAGAAAAAATAAAACAAATTACAAAATTTTGCAACTGTCGGCGCATTCTCGATATTAACATAGTTAATTTATGGTCAGTAAACAGACTGGTCATCAGGCAAGAATAAATTTTCTTTGAGCGGGAATTGGGAGAATAAATTATAATGTTTAACTGGCTCTTACTCAGGCTCCACTCGGTTCATAAATCAGAAGAACTGAATTTGTCAATTTTGACATTCTTGTTCTGTGGCTCCAATTTCCGTTCTGTCCTAAATTCTGTTCTGTCGCTTCAATTTCCGTTCTGTTCATAACTCCATTCTGTGGCTTCAATTTCTGTTGTGTTTCTCCAATCTCTGTTCTATTGCTTCAATTTCTGTTCTGTTAGTACAATTTCTGTTCTGTTGCTCCAATTTCTGTTGCATTAATTTCTATTCTGTTGCTTCAGTTTCTGTTCTGGTTTCCTAAACTCTGTTCCATTAAATCAATAAAATATATAGGATCTTCAAAACAGAATTTGAAATAGGATTTTGGTGCATATGACCCCTCATAGAAATGAACTTGTTTTAGTGTGAATTCTATAAAAGTTCAATAATAACCAATCCATTCCAAACACTGTAAAATACATAACTTATTGTTTTGCCTTTCAATGCACATCATCTTGATCCAAAAAAATTGTCTGCAAAATTGGGAGGACACCTGCATAACCATTTAAAACAAATTCCGTATAGGCCTGAATCCCGTACAGGCCTGAAATTTTTTTCAGGTCTGATTTTCACTATTGCTCAAATAGTGCTTTACTGCGAAGGATCGTTCTCATATACGTCTCATAACCGCAGTTCACACATATGTTTCATATGTTTGTTGTTGTTAAATTCAGGACTCCCTGTCTTTCTACATGTACTAAAATTTACCTGAAATTTCCCAATAAATGAGTTTCAAATTAATTGGAAAACATTTTAGTACACTTCATAGGCTTATGTGCTCCTTGTTTTAGGAAAAGCACTTACATTTGAGCAAAAATGGTTGTTAGTGACATCCCTCACTATCCTCTTCATCATCAAAAACAAGAACCCCCTTATTTGTCAAAACCATGAAACCTAGCCAAACCAATGAGAAGTCATTTGGATAGAGTTTTTTCAACTTGGAAAAGTGATCAAATGTAATCAGACGGAATTTACTTTGATGTCCAACAGTCCAATTTTCAAAATTCTGCATCAAAATATGTTAAATAATCATCCTCCATTCAAACCAGTTCAAAATCCAACCAAGCAGCAAGCAAGAGATTTGAAAGGAAACAAATCCTGTTTGGTAAGGAAAAAAATATCTGATCCTGAAGTCAAATATAAGGTTTTTCAGTTATTTGAGGCTAACATTATTATGATGGCGCTAACTTACATTTTGCGATCACTTTCACAGTTTGATTAACAGGTTCCCCAACCCCATTGAAAGCAGCACAACGGTATGTTCCACTTGAACTGTTGCCAAAATTATCCTTGACAAAATATCCATCCTTAGATTGCAGTGCTCTACTGTCAGTACCATTTTCCCACACTCTTGTCCAAGTAATATTTGGTTCTGGTTTACCAGTTGCATTGCAACTCAAAGTTACCTTTGCGTCCACACAAACATCTTGGTCACTTGTCACACCAACAATTTTCGTGGGTTCTACAAATAATCAATGACATGTGATGCTGAAGGAGATAAATGAATGGGACAGATTAAATACACTTTCAGGCATTATAATAATCCTGAAACAACAGTTTTATATATGATTGTTAGGAATTAGCATACTGCAAGCATACTGCAATATATGTACAGTGTATTGTAAATAGGTATAAGTGTGAGTAGGCAAGTGAGCTACATGTATCTTGAATTCACCAAAGTAAAAATTTCATTCAGATATGAAATCTGACATTACAGATGGCTCAGTTAAAATTCTTCAATATTCAGATCATATTTATTAGTACTATCATTCATGATTGTCCCCATTACTGTTTCGAATTTCTGTAATATATGTTTGGATCAATGCTTTACCTCAAATTGTAAGTAATTACTTTTAGAGATAAGGACTAATCACCTTTTTCATCCCAAAGAGCAGGAATTAAGTACAACAAACTTCACCAACATCACAAGTTCAGAGCTCAAAATAAGTACTGGTCAACAGACAATGTCTGGTCAAGATTTTACTTTGTCATTCAAATTTTGGTTTGGCAGCCATTTTGACCAGTCATGTACATGGCCCTCCAAAATATAACTTAAAAAATAAATTTATTCCCTACTTATTTAAGGTTACTGTCACCGTTACTGTCAAAATTTTCAAAATTTCTTTTTGTTTGTCTTTAGTCAGAGATTGAAAACATTTGTGTTTAATTTGCTGAAAGAAAAAATTCAGAATCTCCCAGCTAAAAGTATATTTTAATGGAACTGGTACCAAATAGCAAAAGGTATGTCATGATCATTGCCATAATCCTAGAGGCCTCCAGCAGAGTGTTGATCTTTATTGTGGGCTTTCATCCAAAACTCAATTTGCATATTTTGTTTACAAGGTGTCTTGCCCAGCACTGAAAAAAGAAATTTCATCCCAAAACATGGAGAAATAACAGCCTTCATGAGATGGTCAAAAAGAGAAAAGTTGCTTTGGAGGAAATTTAAGAGAAAATCTAGACCAAAGAAATAAAAGGGAGAGGATTTTGACAAAGCAACCTTGCTGTTTGTTTTCCCAATAATAAATGAGCATCAAATATATTTTAATACAAAACTTTCCCCTCCATTATTTACTTATCTTGAGTCCAAGAATTTGAGGTTACAGCCTTGGCTGCATTGCCTTTATTTTTTGCCTTTTTCTGTTTTTCTTTACTTTTGTTCAGTCTTTTTTTTCTTTCAAGTAACATTCTTCTTCAGAGGATATGTTAGACATGTTCAATGTAAAAACAGATTTCAACATTTGAAATTTTACAGTGAGTTTTGAAAGTTCTTGAAATTATTGGTAGATCTTTGCCTAATTTGCTAATGAACTGTAGTCTGTAGAGGCATTGTTGCTTTTCAGACGATTTTTAAGCGTTTGACATTGTGTGTTACTCTACCTTGACATGTCATCATTTTAATCAATATAATGCACTCCACAGGTGTTCTGTGCCTTCAAACAAATCATTAGGTGCCATGCGAAATGAAATTGTTCACATTCCTGTGCAGGAACAATGAAGTGAGTACCAATTGCAATGAATAAAATAAAATAATCATTCACAATCTACAACAGTGTATTTTTTCCATTCCTCAACATTTTGTAATCAGTGATCAAAGTTGATCCTGCTCAGTACAGCTAGGAATTTGCAAGTTCATTAAACCTCATTCTTGTTTCATTGTGATATTACATGTTGATCAAAATGCGTCATAGTTTTGACAGCAATTGACTATGTTCTGCCCTAAAGAAATGAGTGGAGAGATTTAGGGGTGGACTGGTAAAGTTTTTATTCCAGGGGAGGGAAGTCACAAAGATGCTAGGGGGCAAAAGTGAAATGGGTGAAACCTCCAAAACCTTTTCAATATTTGCTATTAAATGGTAATGTATGATCCAGTCTCTCCAAGAATTTTGTGTCAGACATGTAGAGTAATAAAACCAAGAAGGCTCTGGAAGAGAAGTCCCTAATCCCAGACTCTCTCCCTGTGGATCTGCCACTGAAAATTATCAACAGTAAGACACTTTTCAGAAATTACCATGGAGACATGTAAACTTTGTTGTCTGAGGTAACAAGGGCATAATTATTAGCAAGAAGAAAAATCTGAGAGCTGTAAACTGCGGTTTACGTTATCCGTTAGATGGAGAATGTGACTAGCAAGGTGAGACAGCAACGGCAAAAGTACCATATAACCCCATACATTGATTATGCATTCAGACCAGTAGACTTTGTTTTTAAAGTTTTGTCGTGAAAGACAAAGTGGAATGCATAATTAATATATGGGGTTATATGGTACTCTTTCCGACAGCAACTTCTGTTTGATTATCATATTGTGTCTATTTATCTGGGGCACTTTTAAAAAAGCGTTGTGTTGTTCAGGCATAAAGCACTTGTGCCTCGTAATTTGCCCTTTATTTTGAAATTTTACAATTGGTCTGTTACAATGATCTTCCTACCCTATCTTAACTCCTGCCTCACTCCGTTCTCTCGAAATGTGAATAACAAGTATAGAGTAATTACTGCTTACCAATAATTTTCAAGCGAATATGACGACTCCAAGATCCTTTGTTAGTACCCAACTCACAATCAAATGCTCCATTACTTGCATCATATGAGGCGGTCACATTGAAGATTACCAAAGTGAGCCGTTGGGAAATCCAAGTTAAATTGAACCTGTCCTTGAAAGCATCGTCCACATTTGCACCTGATCCTCCTGGTCCACTAAGTGCAAGGGTAACAGTGTCGAACCTTACAGTCGCCAAAAAAAGAGTCAATGACGTCAAACTGAAGTTCCAGCTTAGAGACGCAGGATATCCTTCAAAAACCTTCATCTCTGCCGGAGGCAGGTCTGTGGTTGAACTCGATACTGTCTCAACAGGTAGAGGTTCATACCATGTGACACTTTGACCACCTGAAATCGATGATTATTCACACTTACACTGAGTATTGCTCGAATTGCTGGATAGTTGCTAATAAGGAAGCGAATCCCACAACAAACAAAAAGCTCTTCCACTATCCCGTAAAAAATCATTCTCAAGCACTACATGTTACCTGCTGATTGAAGAACTGCTAAAGACCAGAACATAACTAAAATCTGCGCGAAACGCTCACCAGAACTTGTCATAATTGTCGAATACTGGTTGCTAGCCTCAAAGGCAAGACATGGCATTGTAGGAAAACCAGGAAATATAGTAGACTTCGATCTGAAGGGAGTGTTCTAAATAAGAGGAGAATTGATTGGTCGTTCAAAAAAACTTACAGCATCTTTGATTGGTAGAGCAAAAAAAAGTATTATCTTATAGAACTTTGCAGCCGACAGGCAATTTTCCTGCGCATGCGCGAGTGGAATCAGTTCGGCGCGTTCGGGGCGCGGTCGACATTATTAGACATGGGGTGAGAAGTAGACCCGAACGATTAGCATTTTCCGACCATCGTAGTGACGTCATCTTCCGACCGCACTGTAAATTAAGGAGGCTCGAAAGGGTTTTCAACAATTAACAGCAAGCGCCAATCAGTAAAAGATATCAGGACTGTCAAACTTATCATCAGGATAATAACTCGACATCTGCATAACACTATGTTAGGGCAATCTTTTAAAGGGTCCGTCAGGCATTATCTGTTGCCATGGCAACAATACAGTA